GTTGTGTGTCTTGGGCTGTGTGTATGATTTCCTGTGCTTTGATTTTTTGAGGTTGGTTTTTCTTTGTGGTTATGCTGCCTCCGTGGTGTTGTGTCTATGTGATTTTTTCTTGGTTTGATGACGATTGTGTGCTTTTGCTGCCTGTGTATGATTCTTGTGATTTGTTGTTGTTTTGTGTATTGCTGTTGTGTTGTGCTTTTGTGATGTTTGCTATGTTCTGTGTTGTTGGTTTGTTTGTTTATGGTGTTGTGGGTTGGTTGCTTGTTGGATTTTTTGTTCTGTGTTATCTGCAATATTTTTTGCCTGTGTGTGGGTTGATTGTTGTGTTTTTGTTTTTGTTCTGGCTTTGTTTGTTGCGTTTTTGTGGTTATGTGTTTATGTGTTTTGGTTTTGGTGTTTGTGCTGTGTTGGTTGTGTTGTTTTTGTTGTTGGTTTTTGTTGGTTGTTATTGGTGGATTTTCTTGTGGTTTGTGCGTCTCTGTTGCTTGTGTATATGGCAAGATGTGCGTTGGTTTGTGTTGTTCTATGTGTTTGTGTGCTTTTGCGGTGTTGTTTCTTCATCCTCTGTATTCTTTCTCGCTCCCTATACCTGGTTTGACTCAGAAGGTATCCCGCTTTGGTTGTGTTGTTGGTGTTTTGTGCTGATGTCTGATGAATCTGTTTCTGATTGTGATGTTTTCTTGGTTTGCTTTTGCTTGTTGTTTTTGTTGGTTTGTCTTGATGTTGGATTTAGTGTGTTTTTGGGTTTGTGTTTGGTTTCGCCTGTCTGTACTATTCAGCGGCGCCGAGTAGACCCAAACTGTACACGATTTCCATCAAAATTCACATGTCCCACCCTCCTGCCTGTGATACACAGAGCGGGCTTCACTCGAACACTAGCCATCCTTTCCTTACATCCGTCCTCTAAGTCTACGCCCTCTCGACTGTCTCTCCCAACCATTCTCGTTGCAGAGTCAATACAGTACCAATTGATGAGTCTTGTGTTTGTTTGGGTATCTTTATTTGCACGTTGTTGTAAGTTCCTGTTTGCTGGCTATTTTTGTGTGTGTTTTTCTAACTTCGATTTGGTGGTGTTTCTCATGTTTGGCTTTTGTGAGTGTCATGGTTATTCCTGATTGGGTTTGGTTAGGTTAACTGCTTCATAATACCTACGCTTGAAAGTTGGCATACAAATTTCCCGAAACCCTCTACATCTTGGCATTCCCAAATAAGTGTGTGTGAGAGGCGAGTCGACTGTGTGTATATTGTTGGAATATTTTGTCAAAAAGTGATGAATCTGTTCCTATTCCTGAAACCAATGAGTACAAGGGCTGTGGTGTGGTTCAATTGGTATCAAATTTCACTTGATTGCAACCACGCGAGGTGCGCTCATTAGCTTCTGTTTGTTATATTTCATCGCCTTACAATATGAGCCAAATCGAGTTCATAAAACCAATAACAACACATTGGTAGTTACTTGTAGTCAATTGACACATCGTAACTAAAGCAGCTACGATTCAAAACTTGAGCGATATTGTTGAATGTAGCGCTCCGCGCTTCACCGCGTTTGTGATATTCGAAATTCTTTCACGTTCATTTCGTTTGTCACTTCTTGTGTGCAGCATGATTAGAATCGTAATGTAGCTTGAGTTTGTAGCATTTCGGGTTCTTCTTACCTAAAATTACTATCGATTGTCAATAGCGAGGCATATCTGTATTTACATTATTTTGTAATAGTTTCGGAACGCGACATTAAATCCTCCACGATGTCATTCTGTGCTCCAAATCGCACACACGCATACTGTTTTGACTGATTGATTAAATTTGAACCTTTGTATAACGGTAATAAGTGGCAAATTGACTCTTTGACGTTAGGAACTACCTACATTGTTTAAACAACACACTAATGAGTGCTTTGATAGAATCATACTCCAATAGCACTATAAGCATTCCAATATTCCTTCATCCGTATAGAAAACGTTTGATGGTAAAAAAGCAAAAAGGCTCTGTTTTAAGGATTTTTTTTCCTGGCAATTATTCGAATTTTTTTTCGACGTAAAAAACCATTCTTGAAACTTCAACGTAACATTTAAAAAAAAGAATGGCCAAATTGGTCAGGCGTTGTTGGAGTTTATGCGCTGTACCAACACATTTTTGCGATCATTTTTGATTATGTATAGATATTAATATATTGGATTTAGTTCATGAGTTAGTTGTTACCTAGATAATGTTTCATCACCTGTTCTTGACCTAAAAAGAATTAATTTGGTCTTATCAGGACAAATATTTCACAGGCTGAGCTTTTATATTAGCCGAGAAATGAATATATTATACGTATTCAGTTTTAATGCATTTCTTTTAAATTTGCAGCAGTGGGAGACATACTTATGAAAAGAAGTGTTCGTCCCTGGCTTTTTCCAAACATCATATTCAATAACTCTGAATACGGAAACACAGAGAGCTTTCTATACAAATGGTTGCATACACATCAAATGAAGTAAAGGGTTCTTTAGTAATTTTAAGTAATTGAACACGATATTACATTGCAATGATAGTTTTCTTGATAAACTACCATTTTTTCCGTTTATCCTAGATTTATAGCAAACAGAAAGAAAGAGTTCTATTTCAAAGGAGAATGGATATGCAGATAAATCACAAGAAAATGAAGTTGGTGAGTTGAAATAGCAATTTTTAATTAAATAATGAAAATGTAATACCAAACCGTAGACAGAAGCGTTGGAACAGTTGCGAGCGGAACGTCTACACTGATTCGAAGTATTATGAAGATTCTTAAAATATAGTAGATCATGAAGGATTTCACCCATTTTCAATATTTTCTGGTTTGTTTTAAAAAGCACACTTTGCAGTTATAAACGACTTATAGAATAAAATGCCAATCGGTGGTTGGCAATAGGTTTAATGTATGTAACTCATGATATATATACGTGGTATGTATGGTCATAAGTGACTCTAACGTGTTACATATCTATGTTATTTCGCCATTAAAGATTGCTTTCAGAGACTACTCATAACCACACATGCGATAGATCTGAGTATGTATCTCGACCAGCGTGTGCGCTCCCTCTCTCTCCCAGCCATTTTTCACAAGTCTGGCCTAGCTCACCAGCACGAGACATGTATTACGTGAGCTCGTGTGTGAGAGTGGACTCGACTCTCGACGGTAATCGCTCGCCTATATACGGTTAATGAGTTAGATTATTATACTTAGATTAGATTTGCTTAGCAAAAAAAAAAAAAAAAACAGTTTAAAGCTGTATGTAACGTATGGGGAAGAAGATAACGGCACACTTATTTGTTGGTCAGAACCCTTTCCATCCTTTTAACTATAAAATAATTGGAAAGGTGAGTAAAAGTTGAAGATAAATAAATAAAATCAATTTTAAAAAACGCAGAGATTAGCGAACATTTGAAATACTGGACATTTTCATTCCCGAGTTATAGAAAATTATTTGCATCGGTAACGAACTGGCAGATTTATTTTTTGGCCATTTCTAAACAACTTCTGGTAACTCGCCCGTCTCCACTACCATTACAAGAAAAAGGCAGAGTTCAGCAACACGATCGCGAGTTCCGGATTAAAATATTATTGAACAAAGGATGTTAACTATATGAGTTAAAATGGAGAGCGTTTTCGCTGTCGAGTAGCGAGAGTATCGTCGGGGATGAAGCAGAGAATGTAACTACGTGCTCAAGAGAACGTAGTCCATGTCCAAGATAAATTTTAATTATATTAGGAACTATCTCTATAAGTTCATTCCCAAGAACAACAAAACTAATACAATTTATATTATTTATTGGACTACAACAAATTAGTACTTCTTCATGACATAAATTCATTCTCTCTCATGACTAAAATGTTTGGTTTTAACTTCATTTGCAATAGTTCACTGAAATCTCGTGGGAAATAATGGGATTATTTAAGAAAGAACAGTGCGACTTCAGGTTTTGGCATTGTGGCTTCAGGTGAAACCGATATCATTGACCAGTATATCCATTTTAATTTGCAGGGACAAAGATTAGATGTGGGCATTTTTGGATTTTCTTATTGCAAGTATCAAGAGATGTGGAATTTAACTGATGAAGAATTCGAGAAGAAGTGGACACTTTATGTTTGAGGGTTTGTAGTCGTTGCCTCATAAGCTGAAGAAATATTTAAAGTCTGTTAATTTTAAACTTTTGTACTTGTTGCAGGGCACGATACTGTTCTTCAGGATATAGGCTTCTGTGTTGTGCGTTGCTGCAAAAACATCCACAGTGTCAGTATTATATCTTACTTGTAATTTACATTGACAATTTCTGGCATAGTTTGAGTTTATTATTGATCAGATAATATGTCACAATCTCATCAACCACAAAAAATGTTATAGACACAACTTTTTCTAGTGTAGAATTCGAATATGCAATAAAACTTGGTGGTTCCCTTTTAATATTTCAAAGTTCCCCTCCTGCCCAGGGAGCGGGGGCGAGGTTTGATTTGTGATCAGACAGATATTTCCCTTGGAGATAATCTTTTTTTTTGTTTGAGACGCTTGGTACGATGCGTATTTTTTGAGTTATAATCGAGTTATCTGTCAAGTTAAATGTATAACGAGGTAGTATCATCTCTGGTGGTTGTTAGACTATGTGAAGTCGTATGTGCTGCGTTTTTGATTATTTTATATAAAGAACGCGCAGTATAAAGCGCTTCTTGAATATATACATCAAAAGACTTTTTACTTTCCCATATAACGTACGGATATACGAAGAATATCCGTAATACATCGGAAAGTGTATGTAAGGGATGCGGGAAATCGATTTCGAATTTTGAATAGAAAATACATGTTTTGCGGCCCCATAATACCGAAAAGAATGGTTCTTTTTTAATATTCCTCCGCTCGTGTCCTTCCGTCCGTCCGTCACGTCCGTCCGCCGTGCCGTCTGTCTGTCTGTCTGTCGTCTATCTGTCCGTCAGTCCCTCTGTTCGTCTGTCCGTCCGTCCATCTGTCTGTCCTTTGCCTGGGCGTCTATCCGTCTCTTCGTCAGTCCGTCCGTGTGTGAAAACCACTAACGCCTAAACCACGCATAGGATTTTTTTCATATTGAAGAATTCTGTCCATACGGCTCGAGTCGAATCATTGAGATTTTGAAAAAGAGTCTTTTAAATTGGAATATTTTACATAAAGCATTTTCAAAATTTCTCCAAAAACTGCTCCCAATTTTTTTAAAACATTTTTTGTAAGAATAGAGAGAAATACATTAATAAAGGTGACATAGATCCAATTTTCAGGCTTAACTCCGAATTTTTGAGAATTTCAAAACGTTTCGGGCGTCTTCCTACAATTACAAAAACTGAAGATAGAAATTTTTCCATCAAATAAAATTTGTTCTCGATAGTGAGTTTTTTCACTAAGGTCATGTACTTTTCAGGAAAATTGTATGAGTTTTTGCGCAATACTGCATGCAATTTTTGCAATTTTAAAAAATTACAAAAACAATATTTTCTCAAAAACAGCACCAAATTATATCTTTAAGCTTTTGGTAGGGATAGTTCTAAATGCACTCTATGGCGTAAACGCCATCTTCCTCTTTTCTTTCGTATTTTGAAAAATTACAAAAATGTAATTTTTTACTTGTCACTCACGTCGTTAACATTTACGTTATTGCTAATTTCAATTTCTTAATATATTTACAAGTATATTTTCTTTAAATAATATCCGGTAAACTTTCCCGAAAACTTTACAGTTTTCTGTGAAAACAAGCACTAAAATCCCCATTTTCAGAAACGATTAAACTCCATTTTCTCAAAAAGAGCTTCAATTTTTTTCTTCAAACATTTCCAACAGATATTCCTACTTGCACTGTTTAAGATGCCTTAGACTTCATTTTGCTGTATTAATTCGATTCTTAAAAATTACTCAAATGTAATTTTTTGAAAAATTCACGTCGCTAATACGCACATTTCCTGCGATTGTAATCACTTGCATTTATATCTGGAAGGACTTCATATCACGTCATATGAATTTTTCGAAAACTCAATAATTTTCTTTGAAAATAGCGTTCAAATTTCGAATTTACAGTAGCTCTTAAATGCCGTTTTCTTAAAAACGAAATCAATTACTTTTTGAAATTGCCATTTTGTGTGCGGTTTTACTGTTCTTTAATATCCTTGAAATAATGTTTTCTTTTTTACTATTAAAAAGCCGAAAATTAAGAAAATTTCAAAAAATATACTTTGGACGGCGAAGTTTGATTGTTTGCAAGAGTATATGGCAAATCGGAATAGCTAGCCGAGGTTAGTGGAAATAGAAAACTAATATGAGGAAGCCTGTGCCAGTAGCGTACCAGTAGAGTACTTTGTCGTATACGTTCGTATATACGGAGTAATATTCGTAGTGTAGGGAAAGTTATGTAAGTCTACGGAAAATCGATTTCGAGATTTCAACGGAAATACACGTTGTAGGGTCCCCTGATACTGATGTGACTACAAGCACCTAAACCATTCGTAGGATTTTTCCAAATTGAAGATCCCTGTCCGTCTGACTCGAGTCTAAACTTTAAGACTGAAAAATATTCTTCAAATTTTCAGGTTCTGTACATAAAGTCTTTCTGACATTTTCAAAATTTTCTCAATAACGGCTCCAATTTCTTTTTTTTTTTTTCAAAGAATAGAGTAACATACATTTTTAAACGTTGCATCGGTTCGATTTTCGTGGTTATCTCTAAATTTTAGAAAATTTCAAAAGTATGAATTTTTTTCGATATCTTCCTACAACTAACAAATTAAAAATAGAGGTTTTACTTCAAATAAATGTGTTCTCCATATTGAGTTATTTCATTAAGGAAATGTACATTTTTGTGAATATTTTAGTAGTCATTGCGCAATATTACGTGCAATATGTGCAATTTAAAAAATTACAAAAACAAACTTTTTCCAAAAACGGCTTCAAACTTTTCTTTAAACTTTTGGTAGGGATAGTGCTAAGTACACTCTACAAAACGACATAAGCGCCATATTGCTCTATTCTTTTGTTTTTTCAAAAATTACAGAATTTTTTTTTTTACCTTTCTCTCATGTCGTTAATATTTATATTATCGGCAATTTGTTCCCATTATTGTATTTATGAGTACATGTGCTTTAAATAATGTCATATAAAGTTTCTTGCAAACTCTACCGTTTTATGTGAAAACTAGCTCAAACTTCGAATTTTCAGAAACACTAAGGGCCATTATCTCAAAAAACAAAAACAAACCAATTTTTTCTTGAAAAATTTCAATCGGATATTGCTAACTTCCTCTCTTTAATATGACATAATATCAATTTCGGTTTATTTTTGTTTTTTTCAAAAATTATACAAATGTAAATTTGTATAATTTTTAGTATACAAATGTAAATTTTTTGAAAGATCTCTCACACCGTTGATATGCACATTTCGCCAATTTGTAAACACACTTTTGTTTCTGAGTTAAAGTACTTAAAATACTTCTTATAAAGTTTCAAAGCTCAATTTTTGTGAAAAAAGAACTTCAAATTTCGAATTTACAGAGCACGAAAATTTACGTAAAGGACAAGTTTGCTGTTTTATAATCTAAGATAATATTTTCTTTGACTATTAGAGAAACAAAAAATTAAGAAAAATGTCAAAAAAATATATTGGGCGGCGATAGATGGCAAGGCAACTGGTAAAAGTATTGTGGTAAGTCCAAGTAGCTAGCCGAGATCTAAGAACTAAATGTGAAAGTTTGTGCCATTCTGTATGTCCACTGTTTTGCATCTAAGGTTAAAACCAGTTAAATCTTTGTGACATGTAGGAGAGAAATACAATATTTATTTTAAAGACATACATTTGCTGAACTGGGACGATTTTTTTCTGAACTTTTTCAAAGCTCTCTTTCCTGATGTCTCCTTAGATACCACTTCATGGCCACCAACGTTTGAATTGATCTTTTATGAAAACAGCTGGAACGATGTCTAGAATTTGTTCTGGCTTGAGATCGAGGAACACTGAAGGTGAAAGAGTCTAGCAGCACCACGAGTGCGAGTGCGCGATGGAAGTCGGTTCCGTCGAGGTTGTTAGCGCCTTCAGAGGGCAACAAAGAAGGTGTGTAAATGATCACATGTGTAATTTTAATACCAATTTATATAATATTAATTAGTAATTAAAATTATATATTATATAACTATAGAAATAAGGACATTTCAGCTTTTTTAATTGTATCTTCCTGCTTAACAGTGCTTCAATGAATTTGCGGATATGTTTTTCACCATTTGCAGGATAGAGCTTACGAAGAATTGTATGGAATATTTGGGGACTCCCATCGTGACACCACTGTGCGAAGATTTACAAGAAATGAAATATTTAGAATGTGTGATCAAAGAAACTCTGAGACTCTATCCCAGTGTGGCAATTATTTCTAAGGGAATTGGACGAAGATGTAAAACTAGGTAAATGTGATTATATTACAAGAAATTTCCTTTAATTGTTGTAGATACTGATCCTTTAATACATTGCGCCAGGATAGTCTTTCAACAGTAGTACTCTGATGAGTTTTCAACAGAATTTATGTTGGTAGCACGAGTTGCAGCTTGTAAACGAACATTGCATACTCACTTTTACTGTTTTTGACTGAATTGCACACTTTTGCTGTATTTGACTGAATAAATCTAAATCTAAATCAACTTGAAAAAATGTTTATATTTGTATTGTAAATTTTTTAAAAGACTTAATTTTTTAACAAATAATGAACTTCAGCTTCTGGGTCAATGACCCCGCATCTCGATCAGGTTTTGTCAGTTTCCCTGATCCTTGAGCAAATGCTGAGACGGCCCTTCTTTGTTCTGAACGTAAATGTAGCTTCACTATGCGCTCGTTTTTTTTGAGCACTCCTTTTGCTTGTAATGGTAAGAGTAGAGGTAAGTGCCAGTTGCTATTTTGTTAGCAATGCAGAGAAATCATACTTGCAATTCGTGTCCGATGCAAATAAGTTTCCTATAATCGAAAACAAAAATGATTGCTAACTTGATATTTTAATTTTATTTTATTTATTATGTTAAACTTTTACTCATTTTTAAACTATTATAATTAAAGTTTCCTTGATTGCAGAAGAGGGATTCTGAAACTCAAGTATAACGTGCGCAGATTTCTCCCCTCGCTCTACTTCTCATACATTTTTTACTGTTTTTTTTTTTTACTGAATAAATCTAAATCACCCTAATTCACAATAGATGCTGCAAGTGTTGACCCTCACTGTGGTCTGTGATATGGCTCATTGCTATCACACAAATTGCATTTTTTAATTGGAGGCCATGATTCGCTTGATGAGAGAGACTCTCCTGGCCCATTGTATTCTACTTCAAGATGTTCATTTATGACTAGTTTTTGTGTGTTTCCAGTGAAGACGAGTAGTAGTAAAATAATAACGAATTTTCCATTTTTAATTGTCAATTGGCTTTAAAATGTATTGCTCTTGTGGCGTAATCTTTTATTATTCGTCTATTAGGGCCCCAGCGCGCTTCACTTTCACAATCAATACTTGGAAAACTGGACACCTACTCGACAACACAACTTGCGAAACTTCTCCTGCCTTTCTTCGCATCTCTAGGGATTGTCTATTTTGGTAACAAATTCACTTTTGTGGTTGAATTTATTTTCTTCTACATTAACGATCGCTTGCGTTTACGAATTTCCCTTGAACAGAGAAGAATCAATAGCTACTATAAAAATGTGTATATCTAATACCAGAACGTTTTCAAAACGGACATAATGAACTTTGCTGGTGGAACGTTAATGCAAACATTTAGCAAATTTAAAATATTCCAAAGGAACCACACCTCTCAATTACTTGGGCACATCTCTGTGTATTGGCTAGATTTCGCGGAGTGGATGGAGGATGTTTTCATTGGAGTGGATGTTTTCATTTCCTTGAACGTGGGGAGGGGGTCCATTCCCAGTTGCTTGTTTAAGACATCCGTTGCTCGATCCCCTTCCCGCTCGGACCTTGTGTGGGACTGTCTCCAATCAATCTCTAAATTTTGCTGGTTTATTAACTCGGTAACATCTCCATATCAACGTCACTATTTCAAAATGTTTCTTGCAGATAGTTGCCTCATATTAGCTGGTACAACTATAGCATTTTTGCCATATTTTATGCATCGCCATCCAGACTATTTTCCTGAACCAGAGAAATTTGATCCTGACAGGTTTTCTCCTGACAGAGCTCAAGGAAGGAGTCCTTATGCTTATATACCATTTAGTGCAGGTCCTAGAAACTGTATAGGTGAGTTTGTTTTTCTTCATTTTTAGAGACATTTTTTCATGTTATTGTACACATAATTTGTTTTCATTTGGGAGCCGTTTCATACTTCGTAATTAGTTTACTGAGACTTTGTCATTTCAAAACTTTTATTTGTACTAAACAAGGTATTATAGTATTTAATTTTTGTATGTAACTATTTGTAGATAATTCGTTTCAGGGCAAAGATTTGCCAAGATGGAAATGAGATCGCTCGTCAGCAAAGTTTTGGGGAATTACAAATTATTACCCGGAACAACAGAACTTCTTTTATGTTCTGAACTGGTTTTGAGAAGTGTTACAGGTATAAACATCAAGCT